TTGTGGAAAGCTGAGTGTCATGGATGCTGTAGCTGTCCTCAGTGGAAGAGATTCGAGTTTCGGCCTCATCCACGCGTCTTTCTACAGTAAGTTGTTCGTCCGATTAGCTAGGTTAGAAAAAGAGAGCTCAACCGACGCCACAGATGCTTTTATGTCGCCCAGAGCTCTGTCAATCATGTCCAGCCGCGTTTCAACCGATTCGTCCATATTATTAACACGTGAGGCTGCAGATTTTATTTCCGCTAGAATTTGAGCTGTAGTTGCCATACCAGACGGATCTGGGGTAACGTTACTGGTTCCGCCGTGCAAGTCCTTGTTGGCGGAGCACGCGGTCAAGCGAAGCACCGCTTTTTTCCCCACCTCAGAGGATAAGCCAGATGGAGAAAAGATAGGAAATTATTTGTTAGGCTGTGGCTTTGGCATATTAGAGACAAAATTTTAATGTTGTTCCGATTCCGATACTAGTACTGGAAATGCTGCCGATACCACCAAAGAAGTCCACGTACCGATCCGATACTATTTTCCTAAACATAACCTAGTTATGCCCGCTACACTGTAAAAAATGTCCGTAAATTTAACAGTAAAATACCGTATACTACCGGATAAAACCGTATTCCACAAAACATGCGATAACCTTAGAATTTACAGTGAAAAAACCGTAATTAGTTTTACAGAGTAAGACATTACATTTCACAGTTAAAAACATATGAAAATACGGTTTATTGCAGTAAAATTAACAATATACTGTATTATCCCTTAAAGAAAACCCAGATAGCATAAGTACATTGAAACAATGTTGACTTGTGATCACACTTCATCGTTTAATGTTGGTGATGGAAAAATAACTATCATTCAACACTGAATGATCCCTTTTTCAGCAGTGTCAGTTAATGTTGAAAATTTGACATTGAATCAATATTGATTCAGAGGAGATTTGTGGTTATGGAGATGCCGATGCCTGACAGGCGCCGATAGCTTGACGTAAGCGCTTCTGCGCATGCTCACAGTCAACCGACCGAGTGGCACGAAGCACAAAGAAAAGCTCCGGCCTAAAACCGAAGTTGAAGTTTCTGAGGTAACTTTAATTTACTCTTAAGTCTAAGGATGTGTTCTGATATCACTTAAAATGATTTTTAATCATTATCTGACTTTGCGTTTTGTATAAATATAACCTTAACGTATATTTATTACACTGGAAAAAAACACTAATTTAGGCGGGAATGTTTGCTAATTAGCTTCAAGCTTAGCAGTTCGTCTGCTAACGTTACTTTGTGTACAGAATTCTGGACAGCGATAGATTTTTCTCGAACTTTTTTGGAGGTAGCGTTGACTTTACCAAACACTAGCTGTTATTCTGATCACAGATTAGCAAGGCCAGTAATAATTTGGACCCTGCAACAATCTTTTCTGCCGCCTTTTACACAGTGGCCAGTTAACTTAACCCCGCGTGTGACGTTTTGAATGTTTTATACTGAGATTGGAAAGCATACCTTTGAGGAAGATGTAAATTATGTAGTTAATACGTAACATAAGCGGACTGCGTCATTCACATAGAGCTAAAGAA